TTGATCTTCTCAATGATTCTTTTGTTTTCAGTTTCATTTAATTCTGCCCTAATTTTGGTTATTTCTTTTCTTCTGCTGGGTTTGGGGTTGCAATTTTCTTCCTTTTCCAGTTGCTTGAGGTGATCCATTAAGTTGTTGGCTTCCTCTCTTTCTGTTTTCTTGATGAAGGCTTCCAATGCTATAAATTTCCCTCTTGGGACTGCCTTTTGCAGTATCCCACAGGATTTGATAATTTGTGTCTTTATTATCATTTTGTTCCAAAAATTTGGTGATTTTCTTCTTAATCTCGTCTTTGACCCAACTGTCATTCAGCCTAAGATTATTTAGCTTCCATGACTTTGTTTGAGTATGAAGATTCCCGTTGCTGTTGAGTTCACCTTTTATTCCATGGTCAGAAATATATTTTTTAAGATGTGAAATTTATACTTCTAAAATTCCATTACTAATATTATACTAACCACAGAAGCTTTCAAGTAAAATTTAAATTTCTTTGTAATTCTTTATATTATTAGATTGTATCTCAGTAAGAGGGTTCAAAGTACTTTTGTTCAGAATTTCTTGTAAAGGAATACCTTTCATTTGTGGTTATGTTATTAATCTGATATTCAGGAACATTCATTAATTTCAATTTGTTTTCAAGGCATTTAACTTGTGAAAACTATATTAAAGGCATGTTTAGAGAAATCCCCCTGTCATCTCTGTTCCACTGCATTTTTCCCATTTTTGATTATTCCATTGCGTCTTTTTGTAAATATGTATATAAATGAATACATATATGTAAATAAGTATATGAAGACATATAAATGTTTATATGCTTATTGGTATTTTCTTATTTCCTTCCCTTTATTCTACAGAAAATAATAATCTATTTACAGATTCTGCATCTTGCTTTTTTTTTCCATTTAACAATAAACCTTAATTTCACTCCATAATATTACAGAGATTTCTTCATTTTTCCTTCAGGAGCTAAATAGCAGCCCATCATATGGGTGCTCCACTGTCACTCAGTAGTTCTCCCATGGGTGGATGGGTATTTGAGTTTTTAATGTCTGGAGTGTCAGTGAATAGTCTTGTGCTTACAGTGTTTTAAATTTGTTGCAGCACATCTTTGGGGGAGTTTCTCAAAAGCAGATTTGGCAGGTATAGGGTAAATGCATCTTTAATTTTGTTAGGTTTGCTAAATTCTACTTCATCGTGATCATGCTGTTTAGCATTTGCAACAGTAGTCTGAGAGTGCTTGTTTCTTTTGCAGCTTCACCAATACCATTGTTTTTGTTTTTTGAGTCATAATTAGAAAGCCAAGGTAATCTGACCTTTTTTTTCCATACCGTAAAGGAATTCACCAATGTGTTCTTTTATAATTTAGATTGTTTCATTTTTTTTTTCCCCCCGTTTAGGTCTCTTATCCATTTGGGGGTTTTTATTTGTATATGATGTAAGGTTGAGATCTAATTTCATATTTTTCCCAAATGGTAATAGCATTGCCAGGAACATCGTTTATTTTACAGTGTGTTTTTGTCCAGTTATTTGAAATGTTTACTTAATAATGTACTAGATATCTATATATGTATGGGTCTCTTTTGTTTGTTGATTTTTCCTCCTGTTTTCCTATTAGAATGTGTTTTTAATATCTGTAGGGCTAACTTTTTTCATTGCTTTTCTTTTGTAGTGTTTCCTTAGTATTCTTGTACTTATTTTTTTTCAGTTTATTTAGCTTCAGGAAAGACCTATTGATATTTTTATTCAATCCATATTACATGAGATTTATGATGTTGAATTGTCCTATCCAAGGACGAAATGTTTTTCTACTTGACCAAGTTTTAGGGTTTTTTTTTTTAATTACAAGAGTGTTTAAAGTTTTCTTTGCATAAGCTTTGCACATTTCAAAGTTTATCCTTAATATAATAGGCCCTGCTTATTCTCATGGGATCCCACATCTGAAGCTGAGGGCAGTAGTAAACTCAGTTGCCATCAGTTAAAACACTTTTCTGTTCATGTCTTCCACCTACAAATTTAATGCCTTTTCCATCTTAATTAAGCACTTGTCATACAGTATGGTGGCAAATTTTGCACTTTATGGGGTGACAGCAAAATTTCTTTTTCCTCCTGCACAATTTCATGGATAGGCTTGTTATCATAGATCTTATTTACTATTCTCTTCTTGCCTTAGTAAGTTAAGAACTACCTTTTCACTTGTAGGCAAAGCTTTACAGCTTGTTTTTGGCATATCCAAGTTGCACAGAGAGCCATTCTTAAGTAACATTAGGGTTCCTTGAACAGAAGCACGGCAGTTCTACAACAGTGGATCTGATCACTGAGACTACCAAATGACTCAGGGGCAGATTGTATATACATTAGACAAAAGGAGGATTCATGTTCTGGGACAGAGCAGAAGTGAGAGATTGCGTCATGCTACTCAGAACAGCACACAATTTAAAATTTATGAATTCTTTATTTCTGGAATCTTCCATTTAATGTTTACATACTGAGGTTGACTTCGGGCAACTGAAGCTGTAAAGAGCCAAACTGTAGCTAAGGGAGTACTACTGTATTGCTGCTATGGTAAAGTCTTCTCTTCCACTATACACCTATCTTTCAACTGGATATCATCAGTATATATGATAGCTATTGATTTTTGCATTGATTTGAATTATTTTATTTTGTAGTAATTTTTTATTAACTTTCATGGGTTTTCACATGCCTATCAGATTCCATGAAAATTAAAATAATTTTACTTATTCCTTTCCAATTTTTTTGCCTGTAACTGTTGTGAGGTTTCATTTTTGGCCTGATTACAATTCAATAATGAATAGTAGGGGGGAAAGTTGGCATCCTTGTCTTGTTCTTGACTTTATAGGTAATTCTTCTCGTGATTTTCCTTTAAGGGAACTACTGGATTTGGGGCTGAGTTGTATATGTTTTATCATATTAAGTACCCATCAGTTCCTACTTTATTACTTCCTTGTTTTTTTTTAAATTGAGAAAGGGCGTTGAATTGATAAAGATAATAAGATAATATTTCTCTTTAATAAATATCTGGTATTGCAATAAATTGTATCATTAGATTCCCTAATGTTGATCCTTAATTTCTGGAGCAAATTAAACCTACTATACTTATGTAACTCAATCTAACTCCAGGCTCTGATATTCCTGTTATGAATCACATAGCTATGGAAGAATAGAGATTCTAGTTCTCTTCAAGTGATGCAGCATTCATCCTATCTCTCAAGTAATTTCCTTTCCAAACTATAGGAATTCTTCCTCTATATGTAGGAATTTCTCTTTTAGACATTAAACATGTCAAAGAATGGGAAAACAATTGAAGAAAACATCATAAGATTGTTCATACTTATGGCCTATGTCTTATACATAAATACATAGTTTTGTTGAAATAATTTAACAACTCTTCTAGATGGCAGATGACAGTGAATACAGAAAAATTATATTTCTATCAATAGTATACTCATTCCTTCTATAATAAAGCTTATATTAAAGAGAAAATAGAACACAATTAAAAGAGACTGCACTGGGTGTAGTAGCTGAGTGCACTGACTTGAAGGCTGAGTCAGGGAGGATCCCTTGAGGTCAGGAGTTCAATAGCAGCCAGGGCAACATGGCGAGACCCCATTTCTAAATGAATTGAATGAATGAATAATTGAATGAATGAATGAGACTCTTCTCTCTTTTAAGCCATGAGACACAAATGATAATAAAAATGTGGTTTTTTATCTTGATTCAGGAAGAGGATCACCTAGCTCGGGTAGAGGAGGCAATCACTCGCATGCTTGTCTGTGCCCTAAAAACCGCAGAGAATCCGCAAAATACTAGAGCTTGGTTAAACCCTACTGAGGTAGGCTGCTTCTGGTTTTCATCATAACAGTTTCTTGTGGTATACCAACCCTGGCTAGAATATTTGTTTTCAACTTTAACTAAATGTACATAACCATTCTAAAGGGTTTTTCTTTTTCCTTAGGTTGAGGAAACATCCCATGAAGTGAATTGTCACTACTTAAATGGAGCTGTTTCTGCCCTTTTTGATCATTACAGAACATCTAAGGTACGAGAAACCCAAGCATTGGGAACAAACACAGAGCCCACCAAAGAGGAAGAATTAAATGTGAACAGCCACATGGGCCAAACATACAGTCAGAACTCAACCAAGGGAGCAGTAAAACCAGAGACAGCGAGTCCCTTTGGCCCTGGTCTGGTCCCTGTAACACAGAGGTCTGAAGAACAATATTCAGAAGGAGGAGGAGGCCTGTTTGAATGTGATGGTAAAGACTTGGACGACAAAGATGGAGAACAGATTGGAAAATTGCATTGTGCCAGAAGGCACCAAATGATAAGTCATAGTGAGGATGCAATTATGGAACAAATTGCTTCAAATAGAACCACAGCCCCTTCTAAAACATTTATTTCTACAGATGACTTGCTGGACTGCTTAGTGAATCCACAGGTAACCAGGATAGTGGCACAACTTTTGATACAAGGAAGAAGTTTGTGATCTTAATAGATGACTTCTTAAATAATGTTTTCAAAATTACATATTTTTGAATAGTATAATTGTGAAATAAAAGATGGAACAGCAAAAGATCAATTTGCACATGTTTGTAAATGTACTTATTCTTTTAAATTTCAGTGTGTTGCCACCTTTTTTCATGTACATTTCTCTTTGGCCAAACTAGCTCCTTTTTATTTGTAGACCTTTTTTCCTCAGTGTGTTTTCTTCCCCCTCACCTCATCCTTCAGCCCATCTCAAATGTGTCCCAAGTATTCCCACTAAGAATTAATCTTTCCACAGCCTCAACCAAGAGACAACTTGCTATTTATTTTACAAATAAAGCTTATTGGAACACAGCCACATCCTTAGTTTATAAATGTCTGTGGTGGCTTTAGGATTACAGTGGCAGAGTTGACTTGTGACAGACTATGTGGCCCAGAAAGCCCAAAATATTGACTGGCCCTTTACAGAAAAACTTTCGCCAACCCCTAGTCTAATGGACCCATTGGGTAGATTTCTAGCCTCACTCTGAGGTAATCTCACTTGTAACACCTGCAGAATTCTAACTGGTTAAGTCGTGCCATCCAGAGCAAGATAACAATTAGGAGAAAAGTAGTTTAGGGTGCAGTATGAGGCCTCCTTATGGAAGGAACTGGGTATCTAGGATCACTAGTACTGGCAATAAAAAGGACTGGATGATATTGACTCCTGAAACACTGACTAAAAACTTAGTTCAGTGAAATCGATCCCACTCTAATTACGCTTGCAGAAAATCTGGGGATAGTTAAAGAATTTGGAAGTTAGGAAAGCATATTGATCGCTGAGTAACCATTCATGAAACAAATACACAACAGGAAAGGTGAGCAAAATCACCTTTGAGATGAATTGATTGCTGGCCTTATCCTACTATCCCCAGCCTGAGGATGTCAGTAACTCCAAAGAAGGGTGTACCTTCTGTGAGTGAGGGAGAGCATTGTTATGTGAACATGCCCAGGGAACACAGGGTTTAAAAAGAGCCTTTCTGGGCACTTGCCACTTTCTGACCAGTATTTCTCTGTGTTTCATTATCATCTATTGCTGTCAACCAGAATGTGACTCCATGAGGGCAGGGACTTGCTGATTGTTGTTATATTCAGAAAGTCTCAGTCAGTGTCCAGCACATAGTGGGCGCTCATTAACTATTTCAGCAAATAATAAATGAGACCTTGTCTACAATACTTCATCAAATACATTGGAGTAGAGAATTCTATGGCCAGGAATGAGATACTGGTTGTTCTTGGTAGGTATATGCCTATTGCAGAAATAGACATCTTACAGATGTTTTACTTTTTATGCTTGCTACTTTTTGACAACTTTCTTAAACTGCAGATTGTGATCCATTAGTGAGTCAGAAAATCAATTTAGTGTGTGAGACCAGCATTATAAAGAAAATGGAATAGAATAGATAATTTCAGTGAATTGGAATCGTGTATTCTTTTGTGAAACTTTTTAGAAAATATATTTCAGGGTAATATATTTTATAAAACTTTGCAGTTATATATGTGTATTATTTGGCTTGATATAAAGTTTTATAGTGTAGGTTGGGGTCAGAAAAGTTTAAAAGTTGTTTTGGAACAAAACATTTAATTCAGTTAGAGGTAATACTCATTGTCAGGCAGAGACTTGGGAAGAGAGTTAAGTGGTTGGTTTGAATAGATTTCTAAGAGTAAATGGATTGTAGGGGATCATTTCCTGATTTTATAGACAGAAATGATGAGACAGTTACAGATCCTGACGATCTCAAAGCTTGGTTAAGAGAAAAGATACTGAAAGGAGAGGCTGGCAGCCACTTGGGTAGCTGGATCCCAGTTCACCTTCATTTCACAGGTGAACCTGCCAGAGTGAGTGAAACCATAGATTAATTAAATGCTTTGACCCTCCAGAGGCCAAAAGAGTTAAAGAATACCAGTCCAGCTGAATGCAGTAACACATGCCTATAATCTTAGCTACTCAATTTGCTGAGGCAGGAGGGTCATTTGAGCCCAGGAGTTTGAAGCCAGCCTGGGAAACATAACAAAAAAGTATCTTTAAACAAAAATACAGTCTCAGCCTTATGCCTGATGTCCTATTATCAAGGTATCAGCAGGGCTGACTTATCCAATAGTCACAACGGCAAAGGCCTGTGATGCTGTTAGGGGTCCACACAGATTTTTAAATTTCTTTTAAAATCAGAAAAATATATAATCAGTTACATTTATGTTCATATCAATGCTGTTGCAAATCATAGTTTTTACTTTTTTTTTTTTGGTAGGTTTTGGCCAGGGCTGGGTTTGAACCCACCACCTCTGGCATATGGGACTGGTGCCCCACTCCTTTGAGCCACAGGCACCGCCCAGCTTTTACTATTTTTTTATGTAGTAAAGATCTCACAAAGGCAAAAGTGCCTAGGGCCTATGGAAGTCCTAATGCAGCTCTAGGTGTCAGGGATATCAGCATCATTTGCTAGAAATGGGCATGACTACAGTGTTACAGAATCTGACTCCTTTGGGATAGGGTCAGACCTGCAATTTCAGCAAATACTTCATTTGATCCACATACCAAAAAAGTTTAAGAATCTCTGGGCTTAGAGCCAACCCAAGATTTGTCACAGACAAAGCAGCAGGGTGACTTGCTGGGTCAGTTTGGCCTTCAGATTTGCTACTAAAGTGTACTTGTACCCTTCCTATAATTTTCTTTCTTTTTCTTTTTTAATTATTGTTGGGGATTCATTGAGGTATAAGAAACCAGGTTACGCTGATTGCATTTGTTAGGTAAAGTCCCTCTTACAATTGTGTCATACCCCCAAAAGGTGTGTCACACACTGAGACACACACCTTCCCTCCTTCCCTCTGTTCTTCCCTTCTCTCACCCCCTCCCTCCTTCCCTCTCTCTGCTCTTCTGTTCCCCCGCCGCTTCTTTCTTCTCTCTCTCTGCTCTACCCTTCTCCCATCCCCCACTGTGTACTAGGTCATTAATTGTCCTCATATCAAAATTGAGTACATAGGATTTATGCTTCTCCATTCTTGTGATGCCTTACTGAGAATAATGTGTTCCACTTCCATCCAGGTTAATACAAAGGATGTAAAGTCTCCATCTTTTTAATGGCTGAATAGTAATCCATGGTATACATATACCACAGCTTGTTAATCCATTCCTGGGGTGGTGGGCCTTTAAGCTGTTTCCACATTTTGGCAATTGTAAATTGAGTTGCAATAAACAGTCTAGTGCAAGTGTCCTAGTGATAAGAGGATTTTTTTCCTTCTGGGTAGATGCCCAGTGTTGGGATTGAAGGATCAAATGGGAGTTCTAGCTTGAGTTCTTTGAGGGTTCTCCATATTTCCTTCCAAAAAGGTTGTATTGGTTTGCAGTCCCACCAGCAGTGTAAAAGTGTTCCCGTCTCTCCACATCCATGCCAGCATCTGCAGTTTTGAGATTTTATGATGTGGGCCATTCTCGCTGGGGTTAGATGATAGCTCAGGGTAGTTTTGATTTGCACTTCTCTAATAATTAGGGACAA